TAGGTCTGACAGTTTCCACTCCCTCCTTTGGAAGCCAGCCACCACAGGCGAAGTTTCATTACCCAAATGAAAAGAGAGGCCTCATGGAAAGGGGTCTGAAACCATCTTGGATAGCTGAGGCAGCCACACAACTGAGCCCAGGCAAGACCAGCAGATGAACCCCAGCCAACCCACAGAACCATGAGAATAAACTGTTTTATATCCAAGCCCCTAAGGTTTGGAGTTATTTTACAATAATAGATAAATGAAGCACTGGGTGACAAAAGATATCAACTTGTTGAAAGAGAGCCTGATCTACCTTTCATCTGTGACTATCTTGGGATTTTATATACTTCTTCTTCTTGCAAAATAATGTAAGAAGATAAACAGAGTCAGCACCTTCTTTTGTCATATTCCAACTCTAGCAGTCAGTAACATCCAGGATACTGGTGATGATTCACATTGGATTCTCACAATTCTACCCTCATAGCCCAGAAATAGAAAAAGAATCTCTCTTGATTGGTAGAGCTCTGTCCCTCCTTGTATTCCTGCCTTATCTAACACCATGCCACAAACCTGCAAATGCTTATGCAGAGGTAAATAAAACTTCAACACAAGTATTGGGAAGATGAAGAAACATCAAAAAAAAAAAAAAAAATTGGTTGCCATAATGTCAGTTCCAAATCATGGTGACCCAAGGCTTATGCCGTGGTGTAACTGTGCTCTGTAGGATTCTCAATGGCTGAGTTTTCAGAAGAGACCACCCTCTGTTTGCAGGCACCTCTGGATGAGGTTGAACCTCCAACCTTTCCGTTAGCAGCTGAGGACTTTTAACCATCTGCTGGGACTCAGAGACAAGCTAGGAGAGGCTAACTACACTTTAATGGCATGGAATATATGGAACCACACAGATAGCAATGGCTAGACAGGCTTGTGGTAGATTTAATGATTGGCCCCAGTTCTTGACCCTACCCTGCACACTCTTCTCATGGATGAGTGTGCTTCCCTGCCTCTTGACATTGGGCTTGTTCATGTGACTCGCTTTGGCAATGACATGTGGGTACAAGTGACAGTGGGCAAGCTCCAAGCCCAAGCTTAAGAAGCATCATATGTATCCACTTGAACTTTTACCCTTGTGGCAAAGAAGAATAACATCCCCATTAGCACACTGGTCCCAGAAGGAGGAGGAGAGATACCTAGAGCAGACTCACCAATTCAGGGTCAAAAAGACATATTTATTGTTGAATATCACTTAGATGTTGAGGTTGTCCGATATGCAGCAATAGTTGACTAATTCCAGCTAAGAGCTCTGGGGGAGCTGTGGTTAAAGTATTGGGCTGCTAACCAAAAGATCAGCAGTTCAAACCCACTAGCCACACTGGGAGAAAGATGAGGCAATCTGCTTCTGTAAAGATTTACAGCCTTGTAAACCCTATGGGGGCAGTTCTACTCGGTCCTATAGGGTCACTATGAGTTGGAATCATGGGTTTTTGGGTTATCAGTTGCTAAAATGTACAAAATACACATGGCACATTGAACAACAAAACACCTCCTTTGTAATCTAAATTTGGAAATTGATAGCATAGTGGCTAAAAGCACTTGACTGCTAACCAGAAGGCTGGCGGTTCAAACCCACCAGCCACTCCTCAGAAGGAAGGTTGGGCAATCCTACTTCCGTAGTGATACTGCCTCGGAAACCCAAGGAGGGGTCGCTATGAGTCGGGGCCGACTCGATGGCACATAACAACAACAACAAGTGTCATTGTCAAGAAGAATATGATAATAGGATACTGAATATCACCAAGTCTTGTTCTGACAGTCTAAGGTTATCCTTTAAAAATTGTGATTTGATATTCAAGGTTTTTCACCATTTGACTTAATTTTCTAGTCAATTCCATCCCACTTGTATTTTATATTCCATTCAGGTTAGATTATTTATAATTACTTAAATATACCTCTTATTTTACCTCTAGCCTTTCCTCATCCAGCCTCTGCATGCTTCATCTGGCAGGTTGAGAGTCTAGGATGATGGTCAGATGTCACTTCCTTATGAAGTCTGCTCTGATCCTGCCCTTTAAGGCTGTCTCTTCAGCCCCTGACTTTTGTTATGGCGTCTGGCTTTCCTTCTTATGAAATTTGGTTTATTCTGCCTCATAATAATTTCTTATCCTCTTATAAGGTCCTACAGGGGAAGGTTTGTTATTATGGACCCCTTCATCCTCCAAAGCATTTAGCAGAAGGCCTTACATGCCTTATAAGAATGACTGGCCAATGGCATCAGGAAACAACATTGAGTAAAGAATGTGGACTTTGGAGACTGAGATATCTGGGTTCTATTGCTTAGAAGCTCAGCAACACTGTGCTTCAGCTTCCTCATATGGAAACCTGGAATAAGGGCACTTACTTCACAGGACTGTTTTGAGAATTCACCATGAAAATTAATGGAAATTCATTTGACAGAAAATGGAGGCTCCATGAATGGCAACTCTTACTACAAAAATGATAATGACACAGAGTATCACCTAGAAGTTAGTTTAAATAAATCCCTGATGCTAGATTATTTCTCTTAAAAGTTCACTGTTTGAGGGTGACAGGAATGACTCTAGTTAACAGAAATTTTATTTAGCTCTTTCCTCAGAAACTGTTGTTTTCAATTATCTGAATTCTAGTTTTATTGAGATATCCACATAATAACTTTCTCTATCGTTCTAAATTCTATAGTTATTACTAGAAGTTAATTTGTTCTGGCAACAAATGCATATCCTTAAAACAAAAGAAAGCAAAGCAAACCTCTTCCCCTATGTATAGTCTACTTTTAAAGCAGCATTAGCACTGCCACAGCATTCTCAATTTTTCACCAGTGAACTGAAACATGGATCAAACAACAGAGATGCTAAATGCAGAAGAATGACTTCAAGGTGATTGAGTGGTGTAATGTTAGTCTTTTACACATAAACATTATCTCTGATATTCCTTATCAAATAAGAGATGAAAAGGCACTTTTATGAACAAAAGTATTGTACAAATGTCAAGTTGCAAGTATTATTTGTAAAGCAAAAATGGCTTTATCTGCCCAGTAATAACTAGAATTTTGGACTGAACCAACACCCATTTATTGCTTCATCAGAGCAATAAATGGTCTTCCAAAGAACAATCTCAGTCTTAGGCCAACTCTAAAGTTGCCAGGCAGATAATGTAAATGAGCGGAAGGGCTTTGTGTGCATTTGTGGAGAAGGGTTAGCAGTTCACTAGAAATTCACAACCTGCCTGAAGGGGCAACTGATGCCATACTCCACTGGTTGAAGCCTCAAGGAATGAAGACCTAGTGTTGCCAGCTCTTCTGACCTTTCAAGAGAAGCTAGAATTGAGGGTTTTATTAAAACATCCTGATTTTTGAAGGCAGCTTTGCTTTTTATTTTAAAATTCTTTGGGGCCAAAGAAAATATATTTGTAGGCCAGATGTGGCTATGGGTTGGCCATTTGTGACCTTTCCACTAGATATCCTAAAGTCATTTTGAATCTTCACAGAAAGGTAAACATGATTATTATATTCATTGTATGTGTATTTTTTAAAAAGGAAATTTATAACCCCAATAAAGAGTAACAACATCTACTAGCTCTAAAAAATACTTCATTTCCTCATTTATAAATCCTCAGTCACTACACTTTTGGACTTCTATGCTTTCAGTCTTACAGCTCTTCTCTAGTAGGATCTCCCCCAACTGCTGCTCCACATACCTATTTAAATCTTCCCAGTTCTTTACAACTTGATTTAAAGGCCAACTCTTTCATAAAAAGGAGCTCTAATAGTTTAGTGGTTAAGGCATTTGGCTGCTAACCAAAAGGTTGGTGGTTCAAATCCACTGATCACTCCACAGAAGAAAGATGAGGCAGTCTGTTTGTGTAAAGATTTACAGCCTCAGAAACCCAATAGGTTAATCTAATAATTCCTCTACGAGTCAGAATGGACTTAATGCAGTGAGTTTGTTTTTTGGTTTGATCTGTTATTGAAATCTCCCATGAACCTTCCCCAAATCTCCTATATATCAATTATGATCATAATTGATGATTTGCATTCATTTCTATCATGTGTCATCTCCCCTTGACCAACACTCCCCAAAAAAGCGTAACACAGGTATCATGACAACTCTTCTCTCCCATAAGAGTGAAAGGCCTAGAAGCAACAGGTCAAGAGTGAAGTTCCACAGCACTCACCGCCAAACACATCTCCGTTCTGGTAGTTTTTCCCTTTCTGGGCTTCCTCTTCATTTTGAACAGTGGCAACATGCTTGGCGGAGGCACAGCCCATAGTCTCATTCGGTCAGCTTCAGCCGGGCTGAACTGTAAATCATCTCTACAGACACGGGGACATTTTTTTTCTTTAAACAGAAAGAAAAATCCACCTTCCTGCTGAGTTGGTCAAGATGTGTGCACCTGCAAGAACAGAGAGCTGGATCAGAAGGCATGACCCAGCACAACCCGTGCCTCAGTCTCTCACCCTGCTGAATGGCCAGCAGTGGGCTAGAATCCATGGGTAACTCCACTGCATGGGAGTTCGGACAGAGTCCTAAAGAAAGAAGTCCAACATGGCTCATGTTCATTTGATTCCCGTTCAGAAAGCAAGGTCAGAAGGCATGCTTCCAGCCAGACAAATGCTCAAAGAGTGAATTTAAAAAAAAAAAAAAGAGAGAAAATATATATAACATAAAATTTGCCATTTTAACCATGTTAAAGTATACAAGTCAGTGGCATTAATTATATTCACAGTGTTGTGCAATCATTACTACTGTTTGGTTCCAAAGTTTTTCATCACCTCTTCTTCCCTGGGTGAGACAAACAGTTGCCAACAGAAAGGCTAGAGATTTCAGCCCACCTAGAGCCCCCTTGGGAGAAAGTCCTAGTGGTGGACTTGTGAAAAATCAATCACTGAGAACCCGCTGGAGCACGGCTTTATCTGACACACATGGGGTCACCATGCATCAGAACTGACTCAATAGCAACTGATTTTTCTTCCTAAGAACACTGACAAATATCTATGGATATAGAAACCTTATAATTCAAACAGAAACTCAGTACCCATAGAGCATTAATGCCTGCATT